AAAAAACCCTACCAAAAAAGCAAAGTAAAAATGTATCGAGTCCTACTGGAATTTGCTAGGGCATGAAGTCAATATTCTGAAAATGGATAAAGACAAAGAATTAAGTATTGGGTTGTCGGAAAAGTCATGATGTATTTTTTCTATTTTTTTCATTGCAAAAATGCATCATGACTTTTCCGACAACCCAATATTTATCTGACATTTTGTTTATTTATCCTTTATTTTAGGGTAAGCCAAAGGGCTCTAGTAAATGTGGGAAAGTGCTTTTATATAAAATAATTCCAGCTAATAAGTACAGAAGGAATGCAAATAATAGAAGATCATTATTTTTAAAAAGCAGCAATGGCAATGGTCATTAATGAAGGGTAAAGCCACTAGGTAAAGGACTCATGGGGAACTTACCACCAAGGGATCAGACTTTTCACAATCTGAATCAACCGATCAATCTTAGCATTATTGAAAGGAAGGCAACTAGATATTATTAATGTGTATACTAATCCACTGTACCCCACCTCCCCAAAACTGAACCTGAATCTAATCAGCCTTTAGCTCTAACTTCCAGTCTGCAGGAAATAGGATAGGGTAACAAGTTAAATAACCATAGGAAGCGATCAGCCAAATTCAGAATGTGGTTATATTGCCCATCACAACTCACTAGTTTCCTCAACAAGTCAATGGAATTTTTAAATGTGGTAAGGGGAGGAGGAATTGTTTTAGAATAAAAGAAACTTAAGAAACCTAACAACCAAATACAGTAAGTGGGATCTTGATTTGACTAAACTATAACCAACATTTAATCAGTTAGGGTAATCTGAATATGAACTCGTTATTAGATGTTAAGGAAGTATTGTTAATTATTTTAGGTGTGGTTATGACAATGTATTATGTAAGAAAGTTGACTCTTTTTTTGAGATGCATAACTAAAGCACTTTGGAATTGTAGTGAAATTATTTATACTACATTGCAACAAAGGGAGGATAGACAGACAAACAGATGAATGGATGAAACAAGTATGGCTGTTGAAGCTGAGGAATAGGTACATAGGAGTTCACTGAGCTCTCTATTTTGTGTTTATTTGGAAAATTAAAAACAAAAAAAAACTAAAAAAACCCAAAAACCAAAACCTGTGGGTAAAGATCTAAGTTCCAAAAACCACAGGATATGAGGAACATACTGGACAGCAAGGATGAAAATGAACTATGGTGATTACTCTTATCTTAAGAGGAAAATCAGAAAAGAGAAACTAATTATACAAACAGCTGGAAGAGAAAGCTTGCTAGACAAAGTATGTACTAAAAGTCCGCAGAATGATACAGGAGGGAAAGGCTATTCTAATTTGGAGATCTGTGTCCCACCCATGAAAAGTATGGGGAGTGTTTCAACTTAGCATCACTAAAAGCAGTTTCAACTTAGAAGGGAGGAGTGGCCACAGGTTTACAAAGGACATCAAGAAAACCTAATGTAGATGAGAACTGCCTACTAGACAAATAGTATTGCTGTACAAAAAGAACTGGAATATATAAATTTTACCCTAGAAAATAGGAAGATTAACTGAATTAAAATGGAAGATAAAGTTACATTATGAACTGACTTAAAGTTTAAAACTGGTATTAAATCCTTAAAGGTAAATCTTTTTTTTTAATGGGAACTAATTCAGAAGAACACAAGTTGCTTATAAAATTATAGAGATATGTGCATGTATAATTATTCTTTCTCAGTAGAATTATAGACCTGCTTTCCTAGAAGCAGCAGCCGAATGCCATTGTTAGCATTGTGTGATGGTTCACACACACACACACACACACACACACACACGTTTTAGGCAATGCTAAAAGTGCATTTGTGCATTTGGCATCCAAGTTTAAATTAAATTCTTATAAATGTATATAAGGGGTTAATATGCTTATTTTCTCTTTTTTACTTCAATTGTACATATTAACTTACATTTAAAGCTGTAAAATAATTCAAAGCTGTTTAAATTTCAGTTAACATAGTAAAAAAATTATAGCTATCGAGGGCATAGAAAAAACTTCATCTTGGGAGAATAAGGCATTAAGAATTCATTTATTTGAAAGTAATAAAACACTGGAGTACCTCCTATATGTCAGACACTATACTAGCTGTTAGAGATGCCAAGATGAATCTAAGATGAGAGAGGAAAAGACTCTTCTGTCCTGGTTCTTTCAGAATTCACTACAAAACAATAAGGAAAAACAAGAAACTGAAACCCCAACTCCACCTTGGAAGAACCTAAGAGCTAAATGTAACTGACAGCAGTCTCCCTCCCAGGCAGATGTAACCACAGAACTCTGGAAAAACTGGAGTTGGAGACACCAGGTATTGCAGAGGCAAGCTTATTTTGAGGGTTACACATCTAGGTCCCTGTCTCTCTTCTCCCACAACAATTATATGAGATGAGGGCTATTCTCTAGAGAAATTAAACCAAAGAGGCCTTGGACTGGGAACACCAAATAATGTAGAGAGTGGAACTGAAGATGGAAAGAAACAAAGGAAGTAAATGACAGTATATTTACTGAATACTGAACATCACCCCCCAGTATCCCAGAACATTTGCAGCCACCCATATTTTACCCCACCCCCACCCCAGGCAAGAAACTCAAAGACCCTTCTCTGAAAAAACTGTACAATCCTAAAGGGAAAGATCTATAGATACTGAGATAGAGGGCTCCTCTCCTCGATGAAAAAGCCAGCTCATCTTCCAATCATTTGAGAGTAAGGCAAACTAGATTCCACGTCCTGTGTACAAGCACTGGGCTTCCAGTCAGCATTAGAGTGACTAACTTTACATACCAACAGATGGCCCAGGATCACGAGACATTTGAGGAAATGGAACCAATGCAAACAGTTGAAGGAAAAACTTCAACAACCAAACTCTATAATTAACAGTTCCAGAAAGATAAGAAAAATATCTACAAAACAAGAAAGTATGTTCTCCAAAAAGAAGTCAGAGAAGAGCTCTTAGAAATTAAAAATGAAAGCAAAATTTTAAACATTAATATAATACAAAGCCTATAAGATTAGGAACTCTCTCAGGAAGCATTCTCCAAAATGACAAATAGGATTATTCGTTAATAAATTAGTGTTTACAGTGTCATGCATCAAACTAGTATATAATACTAATTTATTCAATGGATTGTTAAAGTAATTAGTGATTTATTTTTTAATTGGGTAACAGTGTGTTTTTTCCAGGACCCATCAGCTCCAAGTCAAGTTGTTGTCCTTCAATCTAGTTGTGGAGGGTGCAGCTCAGCTCCAAGTCCAGTCACCATTTTCAATCTAGTTGCAGGGGCCGCAGTCCACCATCCTATGTGGGAATCGAACCAGTAACCTTGTTGTTAAGAGCACGCGCTCTAACCAACTGAGCCACCCAGCTGCCCCAAAGTAATTACTGATTTAGCTAGAAATAGTGATAAAACTATATTGGAAAGATACGAGGTAAGACAGCGAAATCATCATCTGCTATAAGAAGTCAACAGATAGCTTCTAAAATCAAAGAATCAAGAGAATAATATAAAGATAGTATTTAGAATTATGGAAGTAATACAAGAATGAAAAGATGAAAGTGGTTGTGGCAGGGCTGGCCGAGTGGCGCATTGGTTAAGAGCTGGCTTGGGACACCAGCTCTGAGCAACAGGGCCCCGGTTCAGATCCCACATGGGGACCAGGGACACTGCCCTCTACAGCTAAGGTGGTGAACAACAGCTCAACCTGGAGCTAGGCTGCCGTGAGTCCGCCGGCGACAGCGTTGGCTGCAGTGAAGCTGCAGTGAGCTGCCTAAGCTACTGTGAGTGGCCGTCAGCCAGTGTGAACAGCCGGCAGCCAGCGTGAGCTTCCAAGAGCCGTCATGAGTGGCTGTCCAGAGGCCAGCGACCAATCTGCCTCGCCTGGGAAGAGTGCAATGATAATACCAACATAGGCCAGTGAAGTGACGTCCTCCACAACTAGACTGAAGAACAAAAGGACAGCAACTTGTCAGTTCCCCTTCCCCGATTCCCCAACGCTGTTTCCCTCCCCCAATTCCCCAATAAAAACCTTTAAAAAAAAGAAAGAAAGTGGTTATGGCATAAGATCAAAGGATTGGGAGGAAGAAGCATGACACAGGATTGTTTTAGCACTATGTGCATATATCCACTTTGATACTAATAGAGATTCATTTTTAAAGATCAATGTGATACCAGGCCTTTTCTTAAGGAGTTTATACTCTATTGGAAGAAACATGCAAAACAACAATTATGGTAGCATGTAATACATGATCTAACAGAAGCAGACAATCTGAATAGCATAGACTCTATGCCATAGAGGATCCTATCTCAGTCAAATGAGAAAGGTTTCTGAGACAAGGAGACACTTGCACTTTGGCTTTAAGGATGAAAAAGAGTTAACTGGTTGGAGAGAGGATGATGAATGTTTCTCCCAGCAACAATTTATGTATGTAAGTTTTCTTTCTAACTTACATAAATATTGTAGAATGCTAAATGATAGCATTCTATAAACACACTTTTACACCTAATTTTTTTTTACTTAATATATCTTGGAAACTGTTCCTCTGAAAGCCCTTAAAAAGAGCTTTTAGTTTCTCAAGGATCTTTTAGTGAAGTCTTATATAAAGGAAGATAATCTATTTTTAATATGCTAAGTACCTATTTTTTATTCACAACTATAATACATGCTTCTTATAAAAAATTCAACAGTATAAAAAATTAAAAATAAAAGTAAAGAAATCCCCTGCTGTTCCTCCTCTTACTTCCCACAAATAAGCACTTTTAATTTCCTCCTAGACCTTTTTCTATAAAAATACTTATATATGTAAATACCATCCAACACAAGCAAATGCAATAATATAATGTTCTATATACCTACTAAATCTTATACACACACTAGTCTATACATATAAAATACATTTATATTCTTTGAGGTCTCTTAAAGTCAAGGATTCTGTGATAAGAAATATTAAGAAACTTTACTACATGTCTACTTACCAACACAATCACAGCACTCATCCCAAAGGGTCCCAAGACACAGCATGCACTCCTTGCAGCAGGAACAATTTCCTTCACCAGGTCGGCACTGGCAGAGCTCCTAGAAATAAGACAGATGTTCAAACTTAATATTCCAAATAACTGTATTTAAAGTTAATATTTTGCAGTAAAAAACTACAATATTTGCATTTATAGTAATTTACCCTTGATACACTTTTTTATTAAAGATCATTAACTATTTGCAGGAACATAAATACCTACAATGTCAAGTAGATTTATATTTTCTTTTGGACACATTCAGTGAACATATTTTAGATGCTTTTATCTTATTTTGAAACATTTTATGAAATAAAACAATGTATTTTATAACCCATAACTTTACCACCCCATAACACCTTGAAAAATAATTTAGTACAAGCACAAATCTGCTTTTCAGCTATTAGAGTCATTGTTCAAATTTTGTAGTGAGAGCTGTGATTTTTCAATATATAGAGTGTGAACAAAGGCATCTTATAAAAACTGCTATTTTCATTGATTTACAACATATTAAAACAGTGTGCTTGGTGTGGTAGACTGTTCTCAAAGAAGGCAGCAATTATTCTCCTCCCAATGTACACCCTCTTGATAATGTAACTTTGCAGCTTCTCTGGTGAAGGGGCAGTGTCTATTTCCAGACCCCTTAGATATAGGGTGATCTTGGGACTTGCTTTGATCAGCAGAATTTGGAGGAAGTGATATCATGTCTATTCTGAGTCTAGGCCTCAAGAGTATTGAGTGTTTCCACTCTTTCTCCTAGAATTTTACCCAGCTGCCACATGTAGCCTGGAAGAAGGCTACATAGGCAAGTTGATCCACCTGAAGCACTCCTAGCTCATCCAGCCTCCCATCAACCAGCAGTTGACAACAGACACAAGAATGAATCCAGAAAAGCCACCTAGCTGACATAGGCCCAAATTGCCAACCCACAGAAACAAGGGCTAAATATAATAAATGGATGTTTTAAGCCACTAAACTTTGAGGTGGTTTTTTACTCCATGAAAGCTAATACGGCTTGCTTCGTAAATGAAGATTCAAGGTAATTCCTTTAGCCCTTGCCATCAGCCAGCCATTCCTAAACAAACTCAAAGGGAAATTCTGTAGCCAACACTGCCTACTTGGCTTTCCCTGGATTATGAGATACCATACATATAAAGAGAGTGGCTACAAAGACAGAGACTTACTGAGAGGTATATAGATGCTTCATCATAAAAGCATCTGGTGATGCTTGATTCAGACAAGTTCACACTTATTTGGAAATCTAGAAAAACACAGTTGCCAAATCTATACTTTGTGACTTGTTTCTCCATAAAAACCTGTCTGTCCTGTCTTTGGAGTGAGAACACATTTTCTGAGCACACATTTTTTACAAATACTATCAGAGTCAAGGATATTGATACTTTTTGGCTTTCAGTTTTATAAAGGTTGCCACTTAGTCACAAAAAATAAAGCTTCTTCTAAATTTTAATTTACATTTTACATAAAAAATATCCCTTATCTTAGGTGCTTATATTTATATTATCTATTTACCTCAGGAGAATTAGAAAAGTAACAAATTTATTCAAAGAATATGTCTCTCCTTTTTCCTATCACAGCTTCCAAATGGTAGCCTGTTAAATGAATTACCATATATTATGCTAAATAATTTTTAAATGAATGCCAATTTAATGGTTTCCATTAGAGAAATCTGAGTTTCTGAAGCATTCATTATGCCTTTTACTGTCAGGTGTTTGTGAGGTATTTTAAATTGGAATGAAAGGGTGAGTGATATCCTAAGATTACTGCTAACTAATGGAAGGTTAAAACTATGACTATTTAAAAGTTGCTTGAACTTGCCTGGATTATCTAGCTCTCTAGATTAAATCTATTTCACACCCTTTTAATAGATGCCTATACTTTTATATGTCAGTGTGATAGAATAGTGCACAGTAGTAATGTACTTAATGATTATAATTTACTGATAGACTACAAACTGAGAGGCTATAGGAAGCTGAGACATGGGGTAAATGACTTAAAGATAAACTTTACCACTATGCTATTAAAAAGACTTATGCTAAAACTGGTTGAATGCCAACTAACAATATGCTAGCTAATATTTTTTTTCTTTAATCTTACTACAGAAAAGACTAAAAAAATCTTTGTCTTGATAAAACTTAATCACATAAATTAAGAAATTTTACAAAGTAAATAAGCCTAGAATATATTTTTAAAATCTCTATTCTTCATAACTCATGTCAGCATGCTTTTTAGGAGATTGGGAAATATGGAAAATGAGATCCTCAAACAAACTTTTTAGTCACCATTAGTGCCTTTTCAATTGTGAAAAACACACTTAACTTACTTTCCTGGAGAAAATTCCAGGCAAATTTAATATATGACATTTAGGATCTTAAAAACCTAACTACAAATCAAGAGAGCAAAAATATATGGTAATCATTTGCTTTATGACGACTGTTACGTCAAGAAAAAATGGAAACAATAGATTTCCATGTGTAAATAATTATGAATAACAGCCATGTGCAGGACATCAAGTAATTAATCTTTTTTATTCAATTTAACATGTCTTTCAAAATCACTCTATTGAATAATGTTTGGTCACAAACATATTTAGAAATACATACTTTTCTTTTTGACAGCAAGCAAACTGTGGTTAGGATGAATGTTTCTAAATACAAAAAATATTTCTAAAGTGCTTTGAACCAAAGTATTGGAAATACAAAAAATAAAAAATAAAAACAAAAAGCAACTCAAAATTTCACTCTTTGTGATAAATCAAGAATCACATTTAAATTATCAGAATCTTTTCTTCAGGACACTTAAGAAATCTTTACTACTAGTTGTTTTAGTTAAAGGGATATAAATGAATCTTCTGTAAGTGGGAAGGCTTTGCCAAAGGGCTAGAGTCAAGATAGAAGTAATGCCTTAAAAAATTTAGGGTTTTTTTTTCAATTACAAAAGGCTTTGAAAAATATTTACTAGAGTACAAGAAAAAAAACACCCCAATTCCCCCACACACACTAATTAAGTTCCTATGCATGTCTAACAAAATATGATTGTATACTCTCCTGCTCTAAAAGAAAATAAGAAATTTCCTATGGTAAAAATCTGTCAACATAATTTAATAGCTTCATAATAATACATTCTATGTACCAAAATTCAGAAATAGGCCTTAAATTCTTTTTTTTTGTTTGTTTTTGGTTTTGCTTTTTTTAAAGATTTTATTGGGGCATTGGGGGAGGGAGACAGTGTTGGGGAATTGGGGAAGGGTACCGGCCAAGTTATTGTTCTTCAATTTTCATTGTGAAGGGCGCAAGTTGCCATCTGGCTGCCCGTCGGCAGCTCCTGGCCTCTAAGCTCAAGATGCTGTGTTCAATCTTAGTTGCAGGTGGGGGTATCCACCATCCCATGTGGGAATCGAACCAGCAGCCTTGTTGTTAAGAGCGTGCATGGTCTATCCACTGAGCCATCCAAGTGGCTGCTCAGCTCAAGGTGGTGAGTTCAGTCTTACTTGTGGGTGGGCATAGCCCACCATCAAACAGGCAATCTTCATGTTACTCCAGCTGATCCATCCTGCCACCTATTGGCAGCTCAGCGACAGTTCAGCTTGGGCGCAGCATCACTGGCCCTCATGTGGGATCTGAACCAGGGCCCTGCTGCTCAGAGCTGGCGTCCCAAGCCAACTCCTAACCAGCGTGCCACTCAGGCGGCCCCTGACAGAGATTTTATATAATTGTTCAATCTTCTTTAACAGAAAATCTTATTCTCTATATAACTAAGGTTGTGGTGAGGTCTTTATCCTCTATGCCAAATAAATGGGGGCAGGTATTATCCATTTAAGATTAAGACTACACTTTAAGAGTAAAAATTTATTTTATGAATTTCCCAAATTTCCAGGCCAGAGATGGAAACTACTAACTTGAAAAAAAAACCTTATTTATATTCAGGTGTTCAGCTACTGATAAATATTTCTATTCTCTGTTGCCAAGAGCTGACAGATTTGTTAGCACTGCTGCTAAAACAGGGAAACATCATCACTGAGAACATTATAGTCTAGTAGACAGCAAGTGACTTGAACTTATAGGATCTAGATTCAAGTCTAGCCCATAAGCTGCACCATGTAACACCAAGCTTCAACTTGTCAGTCATAAAAAGGGGATGGTATTGCTGGGTTTACCATTATAGATTTTGGAAACCAAGTGAGATAATGGCTATCAAAATGCTTTGGTGACTCAGCAATCCCTCTCCTAGGTATTTACTTAACAAAAATGAAAACATATGTCCACACAAAGACCTGTATGTGAAAGTAAATATCAACTTTATTCATCATCACCAAAAACTGGAACCAACCCAATGTCCATCAGCTAGTAAATGGATAAACATATTGTGGTACAGTCACACAACAGACTACTACTCAACAATACAAAGGAAAGAACTACCTGATATATGCAATGACGTGGATAAACCTCAAAAATATTATACTAGATGAAAGAAGCCAGACAGAAACAAAAGGCTACATACTGTACAATTCTGTTTATATGACATTCTAGAAAAGGTGAAACTATTGGGACAAAAATCAAATCAGTGGTAGTGAGACACTCAGGCTGCAGAGGGGGCTAGTTTTGACTACAAAGGGTCATGAGGGAACCTTTAAGGGTGATAAAAATATTCCCTGTCTTGACTGTGGTGGCTACATGAGCATCTGTTTGTCAAAAATCACAGAACTGTAGACCTAAAAAAGAGTGAACTGTAGTGTATATAAATTATACTTCAATAAATCTGACCCCCTAAAAATGCATTGAGAGGTAAGGGAATAACTCACCTTTGAAACACCAGTGTGGTCCATGAATTAATTTTTTTTAATAAACCAGAATTGAAAAATATAAAGCACTATATATATAAAGCACTATATAAATACAAGCTGGTATTAAAGAGAGTAATACAGAAGATAGTTCTTCTAACTCTGAAAGTATATATCTCTATTTTATTTTTAAGCTAATACTAAACTTCTCTAAAACGAAAATACTTTTTTTACAAAGAAATATAAAATAATGCTAGTGGAAAATG